GCCGTATGACAAGGGCGCGCACCTGCTGTACTACCTCGAGCAGTACCTGGGCGGGCCTGCTGTGTTTGAGCCGTACATGCGGGCATACATTACCGAGTTTGCCGGAAAGTCGATCACGACTCAGGACTGGAAGGACTTTTTGTTCAGCTACTTTAGCAAGCACGACGCATCCAAGGTCGAGCTGCTCAACAAGGTGGCCTGGGACCAGTGGCTGTATGCGCCGGGGATGCCGCCCGTCAGCAACAACTACGACCAGAAGCCGCAGAAGGTGTGTCTGGATCTTGCTGACCGCTGGCTCAAGGCGTCCGAGAGCGGCGATTATGCGCAGTTTTCTACCAGCGACATCCAGGACTTCTCGACGATGCAGAAGGTGATTTTCCTGACGCGGCTGTCGGAGAACTCGCCGATCAAGCACGAGACGCTGGCGGCGCTGGACGACGTGTACCAGCTGACCAACTACCGCAACTGCGAGGTGCGGTTCAGCTGGCTGGCGCTGGCGCTCAAGTCCAACTACATGCATGTGGCAGGCGCCGTTGTCGATATGCTGTCGACACAGGGCCGGATGAAGTACACGCGGCCGCTGTTCCGCCTGCTGCACACATGCCCTGAGGGCCGCGAGCTGGCCGAGAAGACGTTCCTGCGTCTGCGCAACTTTTACCACCCGATCTGCTCGCGCATGGTTGAGAAAGACCTCGGCCTGTGAGTTGCGGAGAAAGTGTTGCAGTTGATACGCGCGCACCGCCCTTTTTGGCCATATCTAGGGCCTGGAGAACTTGCACAAAACATTTTTTCTTCTTCTTCTGTTGCTGCCGACAGTCTAAATGCGCATGCAATAAAGCGGGAGCTCACAATCGCTGGTTCTGCGGACTGCCGTCAGCTGAGCACTGGCCGCCATGGCCAAGCCCAAGCCCGGTTTCCACCCCAGAAAGAACGCCCAGGGCGCTTTGCACCTGTTTTTGCCTGCTGTAAGGGGCGGTTTTGTTTGTAGAAACCACCAGCTTCTCTTTCGCTTCCACTTTAATATTTTCCCTTGCTTTTCCTTTCCGAGTACACTAGCGACACCATGGAGTCGACAGCAGGGCCAGTTTCAGCCGCCTGATGGGCATTTTCATTGAACAGGAAATTCGGCATGGAGTAATCAACATGTCGCACGTCGAGCCCGGGAAGCTAGCACGGCTATCGCAGCTGCAATTCCAGGAGCTGGCTACAGATGTGTACGACGAACTCAACCGGCGTATGAACGAGGCCCATGAAGGTAAGAGGAGGCTGGCTGTGCTGGTATCCAATGGCCTGCGGCTACTTCTTGGCGCTAACACGTACCACCCCAGTAGTCCCGTTCCTACCGGTCCGCGACCACTACCACCCAAAGCGGAACCAGGCGCGGCAGAAGTTGGCCACGCTGTCGCGGCCAAAGTTTGTAGACCTTGTCCAGGACGTGAATGCGGAGCTGAGGCGCCGGTTCCCTAACCAGGTTGTCAGCAAGGTAAGGATTCGATGCCCAAAACAGGCTCAGTTCCTGTGTGCCATGTGTCGAGCAAGGCTTGGCTACGGGATCCGCTTGCAAGGGGCCCTTGTGCTCTTTGGTGCTCCGTATCCACCAGCTGCGCTCACAGGCCGACTGCCGAGCTCAGATTGACTCCTGTCCCCAACGCGCTTGCAAGTCGCTCTCATCGTCGCGCATCCAAATGAACGTATAGAGGATCGGCACAAACGCATGCGTTGTTTTTTCCTCACTGACTGAGAGCTTCCCGTGGGATTTTGTAGCTGCCGCAAGGTCCTGGCGATCATGGCAAACCGCCTATGCGGAATAACGGGCATGGCGGTCCAGGCGGATCCCAGATCATGCACCAGCAGCAAGGGTACAATAGCCAGTACAACCGATCGCCGCCATCAAGCGGGTACAACAACGACAGCAGCTACGGCCATCAGCAGCACGCCAGCAGCCAGCACCAGAGCACCGGCGGATATAGCGCGTATGGCGGCAGCCACGAGTCGCGGTCACTGAGCCCCGGCAGCAGCACAATGATGGACTCCGTGGACCGCGTTGCCAGCGACCTCAACCACGCAATCCAGATCAGCCAGCCAGGCGGCTCGGGCCGGATCTCGACGCCAGACAACCGCACCGCTCGCGCACAAACCAATGCCTCCACGACCAGCAGCACATCCATGAGTGACGCAGACAAGCTGCGCAACGAATACGAGATGCGGCTGGCGGCCATGCGCAAGCGGATCGGGCAGCTCGAGAGCCAGATGCTCGATTACCGCATGAACGACTCGCCCGACAGCAAAGTCGACGAGGTCAACAATCTGGAGAAGCTGAACCACGTGCTGACACAAAAGAATGAGCGGCTTGAAAACGACATCAAAATCCTGCGCGACCAGCTCATGTCCGCCAAGGCCGAGGTCCCGGCGCTGCGCTCCGAAAACGAAGCCCTGCGTCGCGAGAAGGCACAGCTGGTGGACCGCGAGCGCGAACTGAAGCGCGATCTCGACGACGCCCGGGCCAAGATCCGCAAGTACAAGACCACATCGGTGTTTGCTCGCGACCACCATGAGACCGACCTGGAGCCGCCTCCTAAGCTCATGATGAGCGAGGGTGCGATCCGCAAGTCCTCGGTGCTCGGCTTCCAGGAGGCTGTCGACAAAATGCTGCTTGCAACACGGTCTGACAACGTCGACGGCGATCTGACGCTGGCGGCCAGCTCCGTCAAGCGCGCGTGCGGCGAACTAAGGGCCGACGTGTGCGCCTACGAGGCTGCACACGACAAAGATCCCGCCCGCTGGCCGCTGGCGCCGAACATCCGGCACAGCCTGCTGCCGCAGACCATGGAGTCGTTTGAGCAGAACCTGTCGAGTCTTGAGATCGCTATCAGCAACCACCTCGACAGCATGGGCGTGTCGCCGATCTCGCTGCTGGAAACGGCTGCCAGCCATCTAACCACCTCCGTGGTCAGCCTCGTCAAAATGCTCAAGGTGTGCCGCAGCGACGACCGTGCGCCGCCGCGCCTCCCCGGCCAGGACATCTCGATCACGCAGAAGATGGACATGCTCAGGATAAACCTGGAGGACAAAACAGACACAATTGTCGAAGGCATCCAGACAATGCTGCGGATTGTGCGCGCGACCAACCCCGACCCAAAAACGCTCTTCGCTACCTTGCAGTCGGTCATCACGTCGGCCCGCACCATCATCGATGCGTGTGCCCCGGCGTTTGGCGAGATCGACCAGAGCCCGGAGCTCGCTGCGCACATGCAATCCACTGCGTACGATTCCGCCAAGGCGCGCCAGGTGCTCGAGGGCCTGGAGAGCGGCCACCTGCAGCTCAACGACCAGCTCAACGACATTGTTGAGGCACAGGAGCTTGCCGACGACAACCAGCTCGACAACCCCGTCGTCACCGAGCTCCTTGGCGACACCGCCTTCAAGCAGCGTCTGACATCTGCCGTGTTCGACGTTGCAAAGTACACAAAAATGCTAATGGCCCTGATGGACTAGAATATAAATTTTTTGAAACCGAAAAAAAATTTTCTCTCTAGATCTCATGTTCGGCGAGCAGCATGTTGGGAACGCCCTTGACGATCTTGAAGTCGTGGCCGCACCCATCGCACACCATGCTGCCCTCCTTGACGTGTGTCTCCATAACCACCGTGTGGAACTTTTGCAAAAACTCCTCGTCATCCGCCGGGTTCGCCGGCACCGTTGCGGGCAGATCCAGGCCCAGCGAGGTGGCGGTCTTGACCAGCGCGTTCCAGTCGAACCGCGGGATCATGCGCACCAGGAATTCGTCGTTGCGCTCCGCCTCGACCTGCTCCAGCTCGGCGTTCTCGAACCGCAGAGGGTACTGCTTGTCCGGGTCGGTGCAGTTCCGGACGTTGCACTTGAGCATGTTGTGTGTGATCAGCCTCATGGTTGGAAGATAGGTTGTGTTGAGAAGGTAGTGGAAATGCGGATCTGAGAGGTTGAGATTTTGCCAGGCAATTTCCCCCACAGAGCCTGCATATCAGAATTTCGGTAAGGTATGGGTATCACGTGGATTGCACAATGCAATGAGGATTTGTATGTGTTGACTAGTAGCCTGCCCACCACTTGGTGGCCAAATGTGCTAGTTAGACCCTGCTGCTATTTTGAGGTGGAGATTTCCACCGCGTCTACGTTCCTAAAACTACAAACCAATACATATGCCAATGGGTGAAGCCTCACAGGAGACACTGCCTGCCTTGTATTGGAATGAGATTTAAATAGACGATTTATTCAGCGTAATTGCGGGATGGAGCCACATTGGTTTTACTACAAAAACCAGCGGCTGATAGTTGATTCAGTACCAAATGATACTGAGGCCGACAGGTAAGCCGAATACTGCAAGTGAAACTAGCAAAAGATATAGCGGTAAAGAAGCAGGTATCGGAGAGATGATCAGTGACGAATATATTGCAAAGATGTCGTGTTTTGTAATCTTGAAATAGGGAGAAACCTCTAAGCAATTAAAAGTATTCGGATAGGAAAATGGACTATTAACTCGCGCTACCACTCGTCTTCGCCTAGATGGGAGACAGTATCTTCTATTTCAAACAGAGTCCTGTGGAAGCTAAACTGTGGGCAGTGAACATTGATGATGAGCATAATTGTGAAAACGCTGTCGACGAAGAAAGACTGAATTAAAGATACAAAAGGAAAAGTTGAAATGGGCGTCGTTCCAAAATATCCATTTCAATCACACTTGCCACCCAAGTGGCTTTATATACTCCTTCGCGTACCATTCCTCCTGCCTTGAACCAGGAAGTCGATATTGTTGCTTCTGCTTGGTGGCCTAAGCGTGACACCTTCCATAATGCGTGTCTGACAATTTCCACGAATGGCAATAATAGAAACACTATACATGCAAGAGCGCCACTCATTCTACCACCCCCGATGCCCGAGCAACCTGCCTCATCTCTTGACAGAGCAATCCTAGCATTTCAACATTTTCACTTCTTGTTGCGTACACACATAATGCCTCACATTAGTCGATGCCATATACCTGATAACGTAGGCGATTAATCATTTTGACAATGTTTGCACATCGTATTTACATTCCGTATTTACTGACGCTACTAGGAGCATATCGGGTGCTCGAGCTGTTGGCGTTCTATCAACGAATCTGGAGAAGGATACAAGGAAAGAAATAGAACAAAGCTACCCGTCGAAGACCCCTATGTGTGAAGAGTACTCGCGCACATGAATCGCACGAAAGCCCGCCTCAGAGCTACCAGACGCACGTCCACCAATCGCCTGGGCCACAGCATCGACATACCCAGGGCTGACTCCGAGGCTAGTCAGGTTAGGCAGACGCGAGACTACTTTTACGACGGTGGAAACACATAGCGGCTTGCGCGACCGAATGTCCAGGCGAACAATTTGGTCGCTGACACATCTTCCAAGACCCTTGACAGCGTCGTCCATATCCGAAACCGCCTTGCTCTGGCTGTTGAGGTAACTGCTGCTTCCCACTACCATCAGGTGCTTGCGCTCAAGGGAATAGGCGTCAATGACGAGGACATGCAGATGCTTGAGCATGCTGATGATGTTCAACATGCTGTTTGCACAGGCTACAACCGGAGTCAAGTGAAGCCAGTGCAGCCACGGCCACTTGATCGAGGGCGGCATTGGGTGATACATGCCAGTGACCCGTGCCCCTGACAAGTATTGCTGGCCATGCCTGAAGAGTCTATATATACCCCTGGTCATGCAGGCCTGTCCAGCATGTGTATGCCTGTCCTTGATGTTTACAGCCAGCAGCGTAGCGCACCGTAGGATGGGGAGACCCATTCTCTCAAGCCCATCCGGCTCTGTGACAAGCGTCAGAGGGCGGCACTGAGCTGTGTGTAGATAGTTCTCCATGGCCACGATGGAGTGCTCGAGCCCTTTAACCTTCACTTGTGTCACAACTGGAAATGTCGCATCAACGAAGCATGGAGAGCAGTAGGTCATACCTTTGACTGGCTTGTCAAACTCCAAGGCAAGCTTGTCAAGCCGCTTGAGATTCAGTGCCCCGTCGGCCCCAGCCCGAAACGGAGTCCAGTCAACGTAACGGCTATTGTGCCGTATCTCGAGTTCACGCAGGTTGCTGACAGGAATCCTGGGCAAATTAACGAGCTCAGGAATCAGCTTGCTGTCCAATACAAGGACTTGCAGATTCTCTGAAAACGGCGCAGCAATGTCTTTTGGAAATGGACGCATCACCTGCATCATAGTGAGCTGGGAGTGCAGTCTCCTATGAAGCTCCAGCATAATCTCGCTTCCCACCCCAGGAATATCCCTAACAAACCCAGCCGACGAGCTCCAAGTGCGACGGCCATGATGCCAGAGACCGGTAACATTCGGGCAGAGGCTGAGAATCGTATCTACTGTATCCATAGCCTCGACCTTCGCCATTTCCAAATCTTGCCCCTCGCCAGCGGTGAACAAACCAGAACCAAGGAACATTAGGAGACTGGTATTGGCTATGGCGCCAAGGGGGATACCGAGACCCTCAATCGCCTGGCCAAGGTTGAGTTCTTGGCGGCACTTGTTGAACTGAACTATGCGGACCTCTGAAACGAGAGAAAGCAGATTGTGCTTGCGCAAAAATTCACAGTTGGTAACCCAACGACGGCAGTGTTTCATATCGCTATTGCTGTCATCATACGAACTTTCAATAACTCCTTCCAGGATGAGAGGGACTCTGCCCATGAGCGACCGGACAAACAGGGAATACTCTGAGTACTCGTCGTGGAAGGCGATTATCTGGTCGAAGTCCGCCGCAGTGGACGTTTTGTGGCATGCTTTATTAAAGGCTGTGCGTATCATGGGAGCTACTAGCTCAGTAGCTTCGCCATGGGGTATACCGTGGAAGTACATTGTGAATGGTATTTGGGAAGGATAGGGCGGAAGAGCTATCCGGTGTGTTGTGCTTGAAAATGAATTAGCTTTAGTGGTTGACAGAAGGTGGTAAGGGAATTTGCAAAGCCCTCTTGCCCTGCTTTTAAATACCGTCACAATTTCGAAGCGGTAGCAGTGTTTCACCTAGCCTGGCCAGTGCCCAACCCTCCCATCCACAGCGCACGAGTAGGTCTGCATACTCCTTCTATTTCTTGCTCTGCCACTTGCATGGCAAGGAAATCAGCACCAAGGCAGGTGCGCAAAAAACAGCAGCGGCTTTCTTGTCTCTTCTCCACTCAATTTGGATGCACATCTGTGTCACGGCAATTGCAGCGCTGGATGTCATGAGGGGAGGGAGCAGATGACAGGAATGGTGCCTCCTGTAGGCAGAGATCGCTGATGGCTTATCTACGCAGAGATTGGCTTTGATAGCATCATTTACCGCTTCAATAGAAACTGAAGTTGAGAGTTACATACTCTATCCAAAAGGCACAGTACCCAGCTCCAAAATGAGGCTGATATCTGCTATATTACTCAGGAGCTGTATGTTTTCATAAAGACGATTGCCACTTGCCTTACCTCATAGTCTCTTGCCTGTCAGTAAGATTATCAAGAAGGTGGCATGTTCGCATGCTCCAAAAAGAGAGGAAGGTCTCCTTACTTGTATGGTGTCCCTACGCATCTCTACCAGCCCCTCCACCTGCTGATATAAAACCTCTCAGGAAAAATGCCTATATGTCTCCTTGGATCACTGTTGCTATAGGACACCGGGACTCTCTTTTGTGTTGAAAGGAGGTGGGTATGTGCCGGGATGTGGAAGCTTGCCCCGTTTTTTTACTTCCGAAGCTACCACCCACGCCTTCTCGCTTGGACAAAGCTGCTGCTCCAAACCAGGTTGTAGATCACAACCTCCACCAGTTGCTCACAGAGTAGTTGATATCGGATTCGCATTTGCTACTTTGCCACCACTTAATTAACCTCACGGAGGGTGTGGGGAGGGGCTTCCACTGCATCCAAAAACACCTGCTGTTCTCCAAAATACGACAAAGCCGGTCAGTGAGAGTAAGACAAATGTATTTCCATGCACACTCCCAGCCAACAACTGCCGCACAATAACGTAAGAGAGTAGTGTTCTCGCCCTGCCATTCTCGCTGGGGCATGGGAAAGTGGTGGATGTATGCAAGTTTGCTTTGTGTCACTCGGCATTCGGCTATTCCGACATGTCAGTTTTTGTTACAAGACTATCAAATACTTTCTGAATGGACGTTGTTGGTGCCAACTAGTTGACAGCACTTCATATTGACAGTACAGGGTGAAACCACCAACTTTCAGCATCTTTCGCCATGTTCTGGTGAATTGCAAAGTATTGCACAACATGGCAGTAGACACATACTACTCAAAGGAGTTGTCAATATCCATAGATGCCCGGAAGCTGGGTCTGGCTTTCAGCTCTCAAGTCTGGTGGTACGGACAATAGATCTCATGATGCCAAGAACATCTAGAGTGAGGGAAATGGCTGGGGGAAGGAACACGTCCCATGGGGAGGTGCAGGATGGGAGGATTGCAACCCCCAGGTGGCCACAAGAGAGAGCAGGTGTAGTTCTGTTTTTTTTGAGAGCGGCTCTTTCTTTGGTTTCTTCTTTAGCGGCAATGGTTGTCACTAGATATGCATATCCGATTATGCACATGGCACCTAATTTTTTATTCACTACTATCTGTAAAAGTAGGTCAAGAGCAAGTGGAGAGGGACACCAGATGCACCATGCAGAGAAGCAACCTGTTCGTCCGCATGTCAATCACAAAGAGAGTGATAGGGCAGACACCCACCAAGAAAGCTGTGGGCATGTACCAAGAGTATCGAGTCGCGACCAGGGTGAGTGCTCTGTTGCCTTTTATTTTCCCTCAACACAAACGGTATCTGGCAATATTGTTTACATGAAGTGCTGCCTTTCATTTGAACCCTAACAGCAATTATCTTGAACAGCCTTTTCTCTTCATAGTGAGAGTGGCTTTCAGTTCTTCTGGGGATGCTCCTGTTGAAAAGAAAAACTGACAACCTCCAGGGTGCCTGATGCATGCAAATGCATGACCAACAGATATTTGTGGCTGTGTTCTGAAAATTTGTGACGACAAGATTTCCAAGCTCTCATGGTCGAACTTTGCGACATCCCATTTGCTGAAAATGTTCTGCATCCTCCATGCAAGCTGCCTTTCAACACAATGTGGGCAGACGAAGAGAGTGATGCCGAAATGCCCCTTGTCGTTGATAAGGATTGGCCCCTGCAAAAGCCGCTCTCAAGTGTGATGGAGAACCTCGTTGAATCCTTTTCATGTTACTGTGAGCGAGAGCACCAGTACAGGTATATCCTGGTACACACCTCAATAGTTCATTAAAATTCGGTGTGCATCTGTAACAATATTTGCCCAGATATTGCGGATCCTAGGCAGCCAGAGGCGGATCCCTCGTGGGTCGTCCTGGTACAAAGCCTCAATGTGGGTTTCTCCGAGTTGGATTGCTGAAAAAAAAAAAGCAATGCTGCTCGCCTCTACGCCAAAATGCAGAACATGCAGCTAGGCTTAGAACAAGAGGCAGAATGTGGGCAGGATCGGCATGTATGTGGTGTGCAAATTGGTTTCTTGCATATCAAAGGACGACTAAGGGTGCTGGGGGTGTGTCCTTTCCCTCACAGCTGCCCCTACATACTTGACCGAAGCAAATGCCAGGCGGATTCACCCTCCTCTTTTGCAACGGAATGAGTGCACATTTCGTTTTGCAGGAGGCTCAGGAAATGAGGTCCGCTTGTCGGCATATGGGCAGGGTTGCCAGGCTGAAACCAAGAGCATAGTGTTCACTACACACCTCCGGAAGAAAGGGCGGCTTGCCATCCTCTATACTCCTCGAGCACCAAAGTAATTCACCTTTCCCTTTGTTTCTTCATCTTGAGTCGGCCAATGCACGCCTCAGTTATTGCCAGCATCCCAAGCGACGACATCTACCTGGATAAAAGAAGCCTCTGCGACATCTGCACCGGATCCACGGATTAGTAGCTCCGCGTACTATATGTCTCGTTGTAGTGCCAAGCTCTCTCATTGTCCATACCTTTGCAGGATAGCCGCGCCTTTTGCAATATATAGACTAGCTCATATCCTGAGCCAGACAATGCTGAGTATGCTGCAAACAGTGTTCTGAGCCTGCACATGGTCACTGGCACATGGCAAGTTGATTTCATCCCTGGCTAATCCTGTGATAAGAGTACTGCAGAAAACTAAAATCTAGCCCGAGGCAGGGACAAGGCCAGTCTTGGGCCCAGCTGCGAGGAGACCAGATGCCTCAGCGCCAGGTGGATCTACCTCGGTGTCGTCTTGTACCGAGCAGGCGGGGGAAGCGGGCGCTGGTTCCCCTACAGACTTCAGGCACGAGATCGGTGGCCCCGGTTATCTTGGGTGGAATGAACTAAATCATCGATTTTAAAAGAACAGACGTGCTGAGATCTATTGATACTGAGAAAAGCTTGCTCTACAGCTTCGATACCCGCACGTTGCGCTTGGCCTGCACAGGCTCGTCCGACTTGTTTACGCGCAGCCGACGCAGCTTGCTCTACACGAGAGGAATGCATCAAGGGGCGGTTAGTTCTGTGCTCTAGTGACTGCTACGTCCTGGTGGTATCAAGGGGCGCCTTACCTTTTCCTTGGTCTTCAGTGCAACAGTCTTCTTCTTCTGCGACAGGAACCGGACCTGCAGGGGCGCGGAGGCAGCAAAGCGTGTCTGGCTGACGGCAAGAGCGGTGGTGAATTTCGACAGCGCAATCATTATTACGAAATTGGAGTCAGAGTGGAGCAGAAAAAGCTGGTTCTATTGAAAAAAAAAAAAAGATCGGGATTTATTATTTCTTGCTCTTCTTGCCCTTCTTGCCCTTGGCCGTCCGCTCCTGCATGATGGACTCGGCGAGGTGCTTTGGCAGATTGTTGGCCAGGGCGTGGCCTGTATCCTTGATATGGTCAAAGAGCTGGTTGCGCGAGGCAAAGTCCTTACCGCATACATTGCACTTGAGCTCGGCCAGCTCCTTTTTCTTTTGCCGCTCCTTGCGCAGCTCCTTCTTGGATACCCGCGGTGCAGCCGGCGAGTCCAGCGCTGACTCTGGGTCGGCTGAATCCGGCGCCGACTCCGGCTCGGCTGGTTCGCTGGGTGGGTTCTCCAGGTCGCTGGCATCGTCGGTAGGCTGAACCTTGATCTGGTTCTTGCGTTTCTTCTTTTTGTTCTTCTTGCCGCCGCTGGCCTGGGCCGTGCTCAGGTTGCGGATCATCTGCGCAAGCACATCATCCTCGTTTGCCTCCTCCTCCTCCTCTAGATCAGGCTCCTCTGCGGATTCTACCGGCGATTCTGGCGGTGTCGCAAACGACTCATTATCCGATACGTTGTTGCTGGCAGCTGACGACGGGATATCGCCGTTGGTCTGCATCTTGGCCAGGCGGCGTTCCTCGCGCATCATCTCGCGGCGGATCTCGCGCACGGCCCTTTGGTGCTTCTTGCTCTTCTCGTGGTTGGCCTTCTGCGCTGGCGTCTTGAACTCCTTGTCGCAGGTAATGCACAGCAGGTCGTTTTCAGGATCAAGCACATCGCCCTCGCTGAGATCGCGCTCAGCCCCATCGTCGTCTGGTTCCTGGCCATCGGCATCGCTGTGCGCCTTTTCAGCGTCAGAAAACTCGCTCAGGTACTCGTCGAGGTGGTTCGAGTAGTCGACCTCCTCCCACGCCTGGCGCACATAGGTGCTGGCGTCGTCCACCAGGGCAGCCCGCTGCTCGGCAACACGCCTTTTGCGATCCCGCTCGCGCTCCTCCTGCAGCGCCCTCTGCTCCTCCACAAAGGCCTTGTACCGCGGATCGCGCTTCTTGAGCCATGCGGCCAGGTTCTGCACGGTGTCGACAAACTCACGCCGTGCCTTCTCTCGCAGGTGCTTGTTCTCCTTCTCCATGAGGCGGCGGATCTGGCGGTTCTCGGCATCGGCGAGGCGGTACTTGTCGAACCACCCGAACGACTTGCGGGTGGAGAAGGTGGTCCAGAA